CGCGAAATTTATCGGGTTTATCTGGTTTTATCACCGTTTCTTATTTACCGATGGTGACAAGACATTCCAACACTTAGGAGATGTCAGGCAATTATCAAGATAACTGTCATCAGCCTGCTGGGTGCCGTCCTCCATAATTACCACAGGATCTTTCATTTCGCTTGTGGTAAACTGATTAAGTTGCATTGTCTTTCTGCCATGACCAAAATTTTTCTTTGATATTAAATGGCATAAGCAGGAGAAATCCCTACTATGTTTTGGTGTTTAAAACATGTTGACTTCAAATTTCTAGAAACTACAGGTGTCTCTGTCCAGGCGTGTTTTAGGTTTGGAGGCATTCGACGTTCACGTTGTCAAAGAAGTGGCAAAAAAAAAACCGCCAAACAAAATGACCTCAATAAAAACTCGAAAATTTGAAACGTGCCCAATACCAAGTTCATGGAACACCAGGCCATTTGTGGCTTTGTGCTGACTTTGCAGTTTCCTGCCACTCCACATTAACCTTGCTGTAGTCAGCATTTATTTTGTTTACATAATGTTGCACGCCGACAGACATAGCTGACACTTTTCTGTACACGTACTTCAAAATAAATTTACCACATGACACTGATCAGTTTTCTGATTATGTGAAATTAAAACTGTTTATAACGTCGTACAGAAAAGGGATGTACAACATCACCCACTGTGCCCCTTGGCTTTTGCCAAGCCTGTTGCGTCCAGAACCGTGCTTTATCTAGAACATGCTAGAACACCGTTCTGCATATAGTCCATGCCTATCCAGAACCGTGCTTTATCTAAAACATGCCCGGACACCGTTCTGCATATAGTCCATGCCTATCCAGAACCGTGCTTTATCTAGAACATGCCCGGACACCGTTCTGCATATAGTCCATGCCTATCCAGAACCGTGCTTTATCTAGAACATGCTCGGACACCGTTCTGCATATAGTCCATGCCTATCCAGAACCGTGCCTGGAGCAAATCTACGTTCTTGGATACACAGAACCTACCCATAACCGTGCCTGATCTAATACCGGTACCCCTTCCCCTTTCTGACATAGAACTAGAAAATCGCGGTTTTATGTACGATAAGGCCCGTTTTGATTACTGAGGTAGGAAGGCGAGGCCCCTGCGCTGATTGATGTAGCAGTCTTGTTGACCCTTGTACATTATACTGCTGCAGCGGCAACTTGTTGTCAACATCAGTCGACTAGTTATAAATCCTTAACAAAGCTCTGGGCGTGTAAGCAAAACACTTGTGCGTGGAGACTTTGTTCATCAAACACGCCTCAGCAGTTTGAAACCACTTGGCACCTGATTTGCTGGAAAACTTCCAGTTTAAGTCGGAAGGGGGTGTAGAGGGAGGCGTTGTTACTAGTTATAAAGACGAGGACAATCAGACCTAGGTGCATGTGAGCTACACGAAATAACAGAAAAGGGATGTCCCTTCTTGGCTGTAGAAAGCCAATGACACAGAATTCACAAGTTTTCTCCGTTTTTTCTTCATTTCTCTGGGTCTTATTTGAATGTCCACCGTTATGACCAAGAAATATTTTTCCAGTGCAATGACCTGTAGGTCATGGGTTACAAAGCCATGTCATCAGAGCTGATAGCTTTACCCCAGGCACGGTGGGCTTCGAACCCTGGACCTTTTGGACCATATAAAGGGTCACTTAAAAACTGGATCACTTCCAAAAAAAGTATGTCAAACGGCAATGCAACTCGCTCTGAAGTGTTTTTCAACGTTTTGAATGGCTCTTTATTCCAACTAGAGTGCCCAAACATATTTTGACATACAAATCAGGCCATTTATTTCTTCTTTTGTCAAAAACATCGCGATGTTTACAATGAGAGTTGAAGTTTGACCGTGGTACTGCCAAATAATCGCCCGGTCAGCCAAAGATGTTGACTGTGTGTTTAATATGATAAATATGGTTCTATGTTTGCTCGATTGATGGCCTGGTGAGACTGAACTGCCAAAGACAATGTTTGCCCAATATTGAGCAGATTTAAACCCGAATGCCCTATACAATTTGGCCCATTGTGATGGTAGAAGTTTAGAGTCAGACTTTGGGAACCGAACGCCGACTTTGTGCTGGTAAATGTCGACACTGAATCATCACGAGAGAATGGAACTACCATGTGCCCACACTTCACGTGTACCGAGTATTGTATTTGCCCCGTTTTAATATATATATATACAACTGACTTGATTTTTTTTTTGCTTATTACGATTTGCCATCTTACATTTTTTTGCCGGTGACAATTAGCCACTTTTCATAAAGGCAGGTTTGCATATACTTCTGGAGAATAGCCTTTTAAAAAAAGTTGAATATGACTGAAGTTGAGCTATGACTAGTGTATTTACATACACTATGGTGTAACCTAATAAAAAGGATATGCTTTAAAAGGCAGCAGGAAACTTTCTATGTTTGAAAGTCATTGTGAAATAATTAAAATCTGTGATTGTTTTTGACTTCATGTAGGTCTAAATCAATAAAAGCAATATCTAAGTCCTGACGCTGAGTAAATGTTGATTTGACGTTACAGCCGACAGTTCAGCCGACAAACATGCTCAGGGTTTGGTATGGTACTGATAGTAACTGATAAGGGTGCTGTCACTGTTGATCTAACGACAGTGAGCACAAACTGATTTGACAATCGTTAGCAGCTCTTCGATGCCAAAGATGGCTGTCTGTGTTCTCATTACTGGGCCGGGACTTCATATGGTTTCATCAGAGACCAAATCCTAAGACACGCACTGTCCCCGATACTGTGTACGGTGTTCCGTAGTTGGAACTACTGTGAATGCCATCCTGTGCAGAGTTGAGTCATACTAATCTATATTGATTTATAACGTGTTGCTAATCTCCAAGCAGATCATACGGTGGCAAGACAGCATCCATTGGCCAGAGGAGTGTCCATTAGCCGCTGTATGATCTGCTTGGAGATTAACTCGTTGCCTCTCATTGGGTAAAGTCAGCGGCACCTAAGGGGTCCTGTCACAGTGCCCAGTAAACAATGGTTATGATTTATTACTGAATAACGTATTGTTATCGTGGTTATATGTGCTATAAATGACGCTGTTGCCATGCAATGTACGAGCGACGAACTTTCCCTGCTTCCAAGTTACGTGAACAGCGGCTTCTAGATTGTTCGGAGGCGAGGCGAACACATAAAACACATGCTGCCCTATATACCGGGACTGGCATTAAGGGCAGTGGGTAATTTAAAGTAAGCGCACATATAACACATATCAAACACTGTTCTTTCAACCCTGAATAGACGTTGAGTTTTGTCCTGTCAAAAGGTTTGATAAGTTATTGTAGAATTGTATGTTGTCTTACCCTAAAATCAGTCAGACCCTAAAATCAGAGGACCACAGTGTTTGATAATTGATGTAGGTTCCTTCCCCTTTTTGGATAGCCATGACACAAATAACTAGATATGTGACCATGACAAGCATAAAAACAACCGTCAGCATTATTTGTTTACCGTAATTTGTTTTTTCTTCTATTAATAGGAAATCCAAACAACAAACATACGATGACAACTCTTTGTGTACTTTGGCCCTGTAGTACCCCCACCCACGGGTGGGCGTGTTCCAAATGGCGCGCTGTGATTGGACAAAAAGTTGTAGTCCTCAGCAGCAACAAGTGTCAGCTGAGGTAGATAGGTAGTCACCACGCATGCGCGGGTCAAAGGTCATGGCCATCAGATGACAGCACGTCCCATGACCTGAACAACATAGAACAATGTACCAGTGTGACCTCAGTATTCTCCATCTAAGCATTGCTATGAACTTTAATTCATCTTATTACATCTTTGAGTTTGAAGCATGGAGTCATTACCAAATTAAAGACTCAGTTCTCTCTGTATGTGTCAGAAATAGATAAGTGCCATAATACTGGGCACCATGACACATTTCTGTAAATACCATGATATCTTATGCAGAAAATAAAACGTGATGTTTGTAATAGGCTATGAATAATGCTGTTTTCTATGCAACTCAATGACCTGACAAGCCCTTGGATCTGACAAGTGCATGTAAGTTATCTTGATCAAGTCGTCAGGCAGACAGCTGCCTACTTCATGTTCGGATGAACAACCCTTCTAACATGTAATCGTACATTGATACTGATAATATAGTGATATGGATAACTTTCAACTGATATCAGAAAATTCCACCCAGAAAAGTTTGCTGTGTGTGTTTTTTTCCTACTGTTTTGGTCTGGAATGTATGTGCCTTCGTACTATGTTTTTTCTTCAGTTGAGTAATTTTTCTTTCCTACATTTTTTAAAGTGATTAAAATTCGTTCAGTTATCATTGTTTCCCTCCCACGTTGCGAACATAACGTATCCAAACCTCGCCCATGTTGATTCAACACGGAGTTTGGACGTTGACCGCCCCATTACATAATCAGCAGGCCAAACTTTAACTAAATCATCATAATGTTTAAGCTTACAAAGGAATGGTGGTTGGTCATCAAACGTATTGTAAGCAGAGGACTCCAGCATGTGATGCAAGATTGTGAATTAAAGAAACAGATTAACATTTCTCTATGGACGTTTGAGCTGATTGTACAGCGTAATGATATATAGCACTGGAGAACGTCGAATCTAATTCGATATCGTGTTTATCACTATTAAACCTTATTGATAGGATTTTGATTGCCAAACAGTATCAACAGTTTGACTGGGGGAGGGCATGTACAAAGGCGCCACACAGCGACTTCAGAATACAATAGCAGCCCTTTGGCAGGTAAAGTTTTCAAAGTTACATTGTCTAGTCGTATTTTGTTGAAAGAGTTTACGCCCCTTTCGCGTTGCCAAAATATGACAAAATGTATCTCGAATGCATAACTCAACGTGAATTTTAGGTAAAATGTCAAAGACTGGCTTTTTATCCGGTTAATCCTGCGAAAATGACCACATTTCATTCAGCAGGTGTCCCTCAGGTCAAAAAGTTTGGTGACCTTTGGGTCAAAGGTCAAAACAAACATGGCGGCCGTGGCGGCGAAAACTGGGGGAGGGCGGCTAGCGGGGACGATAGCTCTGGTCACAGGTGGGTTTGAGCGGTGACTAAGGAGGTAGGAACGGGTTAAGTACGTGTGTAACGTGTTTACAGGCAAAAGAAGCGAATTAGTACCGACGAAAAGGGTTGTCGTGGACAAATAAGCTTGCTTGCTTCGTACAACTTACAAGTGATCACTTCCGCGATTCCGGTTGCATGTTGTGGTACAATACAAACTACCAGTATGCAAGGAGGTTTTATTTTCAAGCTCCGTGCTTCTACTAGTATTTAAAGTATTCAGGCCAGCATCGGTACGTATATAGTGCTATTAACGGTATCATAGTTGACTCTAGTATTTGAGGATTAATAACATCATTAACCAGTGGTTATAGTGTTCAGTGAAAACCAGAGCCTACCTGGAAAGCACTACTCAGCTTAAGAAAAGAGGGTGAAGAAATCAGAAATAGAGAAAAAGAAAATAAATGAAAACATCATATACTGTATGTACCAGACGTGTGCATGGTCGACATGTCTGTCACCATGGTGACTGTTTCTATGGTTACCCAGGTGGCGGGAACGGGATCGGGCGAGCCGTGTGCCAGACGTTTGCCCGGGAGGGAGCGGCGGTAGCAGTGGTGGACAGGAACCAGCCAGCTGCACGGGAGACACTCGAGTCACTGCCGAGTGTTCCACATGGGAAGCATCACCAGTATACCACGGATGTGTCCTCTTCTGCTGATGTTAATAAACTGGTAGGCATGCACACACACACACACGCGTGCACACACACACACACACATGTACACACACACGCGCGCGCGTGCACAGACACACAGACTCACACACACACACACACTCACACATACACACACACACACACACGCGTGCACACACACACAGACACGCACACACACACAGACACGCACACACACACAGACTCACACACACACACATACACACACACACACACATACACACACACACACACGCATACACGCACACACACATACACGCACACACATGCACACACACACACACACACACATATAAGATACACACACACACACACATACACGCTGTTAACAAACTGGTATGAGTATGGTACTCTCTCACACTCTTTACCTCTCTCTCTCTCCAGCTCCCCCTCTCTCTCTTTCTCCCTCCCTCCCTCCCTCTCTCTCTCTCTCTTTCTCCCTCTGTCTCTCTCTCTCTCACACCCTGAGTCACATTGGGAGATACACACACACATGCACACACAACGAAACACAAAATGCATGCACACACAACGAAACACAAAATGCATGCATACACTCAAACACACATACACACACACTCACACTCTTTTTTTTTTATAAGCCTCAGTTAGCTGGCTTTACAATGCATGTACATGTCTTATGTAGAAGAATAAGAAGAACATGTATATTTATGTTCATTCACGCGTGCACACACACACACACACACACACATACGAACACACACAAACACACACAAACACACGCTTTTTAGAAGCCTCAGACAGCTGACTTAACAATGCATGTACATATATTATGTACTGAGTACTAGAATAAGAACATGTATATTTGTATGTTCATCCTCGTTCCTCCCCTCCAAGGTCTCCGATGTCTGTTCGGACTACCCCTCCCCGCCCAGCGTTGTGGTGACGTCAGCCGGCATCATCAGGTACGCCCCCTTTCTGCAGGTGGATGAACAGCACTTTGACGACGTCATCGGTGTGAATCTCAAGGTTTGTCAACATTGGATGACCATTGTTTTTACCTGTATCAATGTATTGATCTCATACGTCGATGAAGGTTAGACATCCAGGTAATACGATACGCCAAAAAGCAGTTACTCAAGCAACTGGATATGATTTTGGAATCATATCCAGTTGCTTGAGTAACTGCTTTTTGGCGTATTGATCTCATATTTGATCAATAACCAATATTTCCCAATTGAGGGTGACTGAGTTGTGACGAATAGATGAATAAGATGATGATCCTTTAGTCTGTGTAATACAAGCCTGCACTGTCCAGGGTTCTATAGGCTATAAAGCCATTCCCTACAGAGTTTAGTTTTGCATGTTTACCATGCAGGCAAGTTCTATTTCTTAGGGGTGTTAGCGTGTTAGCTATTAAGCTTAGGGGCCTCACTAATGAGAAGTATGATTAAGTCAGGTGCAATGAATATGGATCTACAGACAATACAAGTTAAGGTGAAAGGACATCTTTGATTTTTTTTCTTCATGAACAGGGCACGTTCCTGGTAGCGCAGGCCTTTGCCAGACTGATGGTGCAGAGGAAACTGCAGAACTGTTCCATCTGTACTCTGTCCAGTGTGTCGCTCAGAACAGTAGGTCTTCAGGGATAGACATATGGCATATGGCATTGGTTGTAGGGTATAGACATTGAAGAACTGTTGTGATGACAGATTTTTAGTTTAATTTTTAATCACTCATGACCAGTCTATACCAGATTAGCTTTGCCACTTGGGAATACACATGGGAATGATTGTTGGCACAGTTAAGGGAAGATAGCTCTACATCTACATTATACATTGTATTGTTTGTCATCAAAAGATGTTTTTGTTTTCCTCCAGGGTACAGCCGATCGCTCTCCCTACAACACTACTAAGGGTGCGATAGTGTCCCTCACCAAGTCCATGGCTATAGAACTCGCACAGTAAGTACCTTGACTGCCTTTATATATTTTATTAATTTTAAAGTTTTTGACTGCAAGAATTTTTTTTCATCCATATTGATCCTCAGTGTTCATATCACAGCAGACACATAGGGAATGTAGATGTTACTGTACGCTAGTTTGTCAGTGTGTTTGTATGTACAATCATGCATTTATCTATCATCTGTCTCCATCATCCTATAGATATATAGATGGATACATGTATAGAAGATAGATGTATTTGTATGTCAGTACATGTCATTGAATGTTGGTTTTCACAGGACCTAGAACCATATACTACTAGAGATAGATGCAGACAGGTAGATAGTTACATATACCTACCTGTACATATATAAGTATATTGAATGTTTGTTTCCCCAGGTATAACATCCGGTGTAACACAGTGATCTCAGGCAGCATATATACAGATATATTAGATAGATACATATGCTTACATGTATTATGTGTACATGTATATTGAATATAGGTATAACATCCGGTGTAACACAGTCATCCCAGGCAGCATCAGGACTGAGATGGTGATGAAGAACAGAACACCTGAGGAACTCCAGCAGGTGAGAACAAAAAAGCTGACTCTTTCAACTCAATGTTTCTGTTTTAGTGCTTCCTCTATTAAGTCCTTAGACAGGAATACCCAGACAAAATAATTTTGTAACAACCAGGACATTTGGATATTGTTAAAAACTGTTGCCCTTTTCTTCATTGTGTACATTGAAGAATAAGACTTTCATCATATTTGATGTAGGCAACTCAAAGGCATAAAACATGACTGTAGTTTACTTTGTCTTCTTTCAGAGGATTCAGGCCAGTGTCCCTCTATGTCGTGTCGGTGAACCAGAAGGTAAGATTCAACATTATCTATACATCACCACTGAGACCAGCTTTGGTAAATACATGTAATGAAAAAACAAAAACAACTAGAGGTCGGAGATCTCATGTCTTCGTCAGAGATACATCGTTCTAGAGAAATTAACATGCGTATTCTTCACTCTTTTTAACAATCAATTTGGTCTAAAGAACAAAAGAATCTCTGTACTATTTTTATGGTACAGAACACCCTGAAACGGTTTGCCGCAGATTATACAGATGCGTCGTCACCCGTGTTAGCCCCCCCCCCCCACGTTATTTGAGTTTGGACTGTTACTGGAAAAAAAACGTTCAAGAAATTCTTACTGTGTTGAAAGTGTCACGACAGCGCCTCAAAATATAATAAGAGAAGATGTTATAAAGGAAAGAATCAAAACAGGGTGACTACTGCTGTTTTGTTAATTTGTCTTTATGACAAATAGAAGACTTGTTTCTTGTGTTCTTTGTGTCCTAACATTTGTACTTCTACAGTTAGTATATTCCAAATCTAGGCATCTCGTTTTTCGGCCCTTCGTGTTTTTATTGCGCGCTTGCCTTAAATTCAAGGTAATTAGATTTAAGGTCTCCAGTGGATGTCATCCATAGCAATTACTTGGTGTGGCCGGCTGAAGAAAATAACCTGACATATGTCCAACCTATCCTCCCCCTGCTGAAGTTATAGTACAATCCCTCAATGTAACGTCATTTGATCCCATCCCATTATGGGGTTCCCCAGCTATATCCAGCTGTCGGCTGTCTCCAAGCAGATGTAGGTGGGGATTTCTAAACACAAAAGGTCCTATTACGGGGACATAACGACCTCCACGACTCTCATCTTTGAACTCAATCTTGGAAACCATCACAGTAACATGCCTATCAAATTTCATTAACTTCCATCCACACATACAAAAGTTATCCTGCTCACAAGAAAAGTTAACAAAATGCCCCCTGTAGTCACAACGAAACCCCCCACGAAGCTCAGTAACGAACTTAACCTTGGTCCCAACAATAGTAAGCACCACACCAAGAATTATAATCAACATTTTACAATTACTTGAGTTATCTTGCTAACAAGCCACAAACACAAAAGGTGCACTAACGTGACGCACGGACCCCCCACGAAGCCGAAACTTGTACTTGACTTTGGCCTTAACAGCGGTAATCTGCCTGCCAAAAATCATGGACGTCGAATGATGCCTTCCAGAGTTATATTGCAAAATCCGCAGTTCCCCACACTCCGGCGAGACAATTTCATAGTCCTTCTGACGAAGACAATTAGTCCTAACTTTTCAACAGACCAACCAGTCTTCATTAATGATTGAACAAAGTATGACATCATGTTATGCAGGTGACTTTACAAGCACTGGATGATAGGTTACAGAAATTTTATGGCGTCCCCCGTCTCTGTTGAGGTATAGCTGTAGGGCCCAGATGTTGTATCTAAATGTTGTCCTTTCCTCCTCCTACAGAGGTGGCCAACCTGATCCTGTTCCTGGCCTCCAGTGAGAGCAGCTACATGACTGGGCAGGCAGTGGAAATTACAGGTATGTACATGTACAAGTGTTATCAATTATGTGCATGACTAATCTGCAAGAAGGGGTTTTAGTCGGGTGGGGGGGGGGGTATTTGCAGGGCAGAGCCATTCATGTTTTGTTATTTAGTAGTGGCCACAATTGTGTTTATTTCCGAAAAATGAAAGAAATTGCAAAGGAAAATCCCAACAACAGAGTTACAAAAAACTCTACCTAGATAGTATGCTTTTAGTGCCCCATTTGTGTAAAAGAGAACTATTTACTAAAGACAAAAGTACCCTAAGATTAGAACCAAATAGAGTTCAGATGTTTAATCTTATTCCATTTCTTCATCACATTGCAGACTGTAAATAAAAATGCTGGAATTGTTCATGCTTTAACCAGAACCAAACTTTTTCCGTCTTTTTTTTTCTACTCCAGGTGGGATGTAGACGTCAAGCACCACAATATTTTTAACATGCCGGATTTACAGACTCTTTACAGGATGGGTGACCGTAGTCATCTTTTTTACCTCAGGTTTTAATTTTGGTCTATTAGTGAGCAGAATGATCAAGTAGGCACAAACAAGACAAAAACATGTCCTCATCTGTACATGTGGCATGGGAAACTCTATGATAAGGCAGTATTTATATGTGCATGTGTAATTGTAATGATGTTTCAATCTAGAACAGTGATTTAATGGAGTTGTGATTGGACTGTTTCTGGTAAATAAATGCTTCGTGTATGTATATAAAGAGGAAAGACAGAGAAAGAAAACATTTTCGTCTGATTCAGTTTGATATGCTTTATTATCTCCAAAGTAAAGTGTCCATAATTTTTCTACGCTAAAATAGCTATGTACAACAAAAATATTAAGCTGAATGTCTAACAGTAGCATACATTTTTTGCAGTACAAAGTTTTATGCATGTACTTTCCCATTAGACTGTATTTAAACATAAAAATGTCAACAAACATTAGAATGATACCATTTGTGAAAGACAACATATCAAATTACTTCTGTACACTTGCTAAATGATGACACATACGAAAGTCACATTATTATCATGCATTACACTCTTACTGTTAACATAATATTATTTTGTAGTTTTTAAAACACCGAACAAAGTAAACACAGGGTAAACTTTGAAATTAGAACTGCAGGCACATGTACAAAGCTGAACAATCCAATGATATGTAATATGACCACGTTTCCTCGCACCTCGGGCCAATTGTTCCAACATAACAAGTCATACCTAGGTGAAAACTTCGCTCGCTATATAACTGAATTTACAAAAATATATTTATTTCATCATTAACTGGCTTCATTTCACATGATTGTCCACTATTGCACACTTTCAGTATGCTGACATATACACAGTATGCATATGGACGAAATTGTCTTCTTTATATATATATATATTCATACACGTCTTGTAGATCATGAGACATATATGCGAGTGGCTGGAAGTACTTACTAAATACGTGTATTCATATCTTCCATCCTCATGTTCCCGACAACTGAAATGATGGAATTTTCTCCCAAGATGGAAATGTATTTTGACCTTTGCTCTTTTCATTTAAGCAAGAGGATACTTTTCACTGCCGTTTGTATCACAGAATATAACCAGTGATAATTCCCAAACAAAGAATTTTTCCCATTGACTTTTAAGTAGATTTCCTGCGAGGACAATAGTTTTGATTCTCCATCTTTAACATTTAGGCCAGTGTTGGTCTTGTTTGTGCGAAATGATATTTTACACCCATATATACATGATCCCTTTTAGTATTCAATGAATTTTGCTGTTAGGATCGGCACTGTTTAGCTTTTGGGTAATGTCATCCGGTTATTTTTGTTTCCTGTCCCCAAAAAACCTAGTCAACACCACTACTTTTGTTTCCCCTTTCTCCTCAGCTACTTCAAACTCGATTTTACGTGTTTTGAAGATAAGTATTGCTCCCTGTCATTTCGTCCTGAAATGACAGCTGTGCATCATTTATACATCTCAACGTTCCCTAGCTAACATGGCAGTTTTTGTGTCCTTTCTGCTTCTTGGAATTTTTTCTCTGCTCCTGTTCGTTTCCTGACTCTGTTCCTGTTCGTTTCCTGGCGATGGCCATGACTGACCGAGACTGACATCTGACCTGGTCTAGTTTACCCATTGCCTCGGTAATGTCCTCCTGTTCCTGTTCGTTTCCTGTCTCCGTTGCTATGGCCATGGCTGATTGAGAGTGAGAACTGACCTGGTCAAGTTTACTCAGGGCCTTGGTAATGTCCTCCTGTTGCTGTTTGTTTCCTGTTTCCATGGCGATGGTCAGGGCTGACTGATAGTGAGATCTGGCCTGTTCCAATTTGCCCAGTGCCTGGTAGGAAGCAGCTATGTTTTCATGTGCTGTTAACTCTTCTGTCTTGTTTCCATCCTCTTGGGTCATCTTCAGGTGCTTCTGATGCCACTCCAGAGCTGCCTCATTATCCTGCATAGCCTCACAAGCCAGTCCGAGTCTGTTGTAAGCCTGTCTCTCCCTGTCCTTCCTCTCCAAGTCTTTAGCCAGAGCCAACATCTCTGTGTAGTACTTGTGTGATTCCTGTGGTTCATGTAGCTGTTCCCTGTGTAAATCACCCAGACGGAGGTAAATGTCCATCTGTTTCTGTTTGTTTCCTGTCTCCACGGCGATGTTCATGGCTGACTGATAGTGAGATCTAGCCTGGTCCAGTTTACCCAGTGCCTTGTAGGAATCAGCAATGTTTTGATGCGTTATAAGCAGGTTGTATCCAATTTCCTGACGTATCGCCAGGTCCTTCATGTCCCACTCCAAAGCATTCCCATACTCCCCCATCGCATAGTGGGCCCGTCCCAGTCCATTGTAAGCCAGTCCCTCCTGACGCCTGTCCCCCAACTGCCTGGCTAGTGCGAGGTACTGTTCATAATACTGGATGGCTGTACGTGGGGAGTGGAGTTGTTCCCTCTGCAAGTCACCCATCTTACAGTAAACATCCATCTGTCCATGTAGGTTCTCTGTCTGCTGTGCCAATTGTAAGGCTGTGTCGAAGTGGGATGTCGCCTGTTCGGTTTTTCCTAGTAATCTGTATGCATCGCCCACATCCGCAAGCACTGTTACCTCGTCTTTCTTGTTTCCAATTTCTTGACTTATCGTCAGATGCTTCTGATACCATTCTAGAGCTGGTTCATACTCCCTCATATTAACATGGGCGTCTCCTAACCTGTTGTAAGCCCATCCCTCCTCATGCCTATCCCCTAACTGTCTGGCTAGTGCGAGGTGCTGTTCATAATACTGGATGGCTGTACGTGGGGAGTGGAGTTGTTTCTTCTGCATGTCACCCATCTTACAGTAAACATTCATCTGTCCATGTAGGTTCTCTGTCTGCTGTGCCAGCTGTAAGGCTGTATCGAAGTGGGATGTCGCCTGTTCGGTTTTTCCGAGTAATCTGTAGGCATTTCCCACATCCGTGAGCACTGTTACCTCATCTTCCTTATCTTCAATTTCTCCACTTATCTTTAGATGCTTCTGATACCACTCTAGAGCTGCTTCATACTCCTCCATTGCAACACGAGCGTCTCCCAACCTGTTATAAGCCCATCCCTCTTCATGCCTGTTCCCCAACTGCCTGGCTAGTGCGAGGTACTGTTCATAATACTGGATGGCTGTACGTGGGGAGTGGAGTTGTTCCTGCTGTAAGTCACCCATCTTACAGTAAACACGCATCTGCCCATGTCGGTTCTCTGTCTGCTGTGCCAGCTGTAAGGCTGTGTTGAAGTGGGATGTCGCCTGTTCGGTATTTCCAAGTAATCTGTATGCATTTCCCACATTCGCAAGCACTGTTACCTCATCTTTCTTGTCTTCAATTTCTTGACTTATCTTCAGATGCTTCTGATACCACTCAAGAGCTGCTTCATACTGTCTCATATCAACATGGGCGTCTCCTAACCTGTTGTAAGCCCATCCCTCTTCACGCCTGTCCCCCAACTGCCTGGCTAGTGCGAGGTACTGTTCATAATGCTGGATGGCTGTACGTGGGGAGTGGAGTTGTTTCCTCTGCAAGTCACCCATCTTACAGTAAACATCCATCTGTCCATGTCGGTTCTCTGTCTGCTGTGCCAGCTGTAAGGCTGTGTTGAAGTGGGATGTCGCCTGTTCGGTGTTTCCAAGTAATCTGTAGGCATTTCCCACAGCTGTATGTGCTGTTACCTCATCTTTCTTGTCTTCAATTTCTTGACTTATCTTCAGATGCTTCTGATACCACTCTAGAGCTACTTCATACTCCCTCATATCAACATGGGCCCATCCTAACCTGTTGTAAGCCCATCCCTCATGACGCCTGTCCCCCAACTGCCTGGCTAGTGCGAGGTGCTGTTCATAATACTGCATGGCTGTATGTGGGGAGTTGAGTTGTACCCTCTGCATGTCACCCATCATAAAGTAAACTTGCATCTGTCCATGTAGGTTCTCTGTCTGCTGTGCCAGCTGTAAGGCTGTGGTGAAGTGGATTGTCGCCTGTTCGGTATTTCCGAGTAATCTGTATGCATTGCCCACATCCGCGAGTATTGTTACCTCATCTTTCTTGTGTCCGGTTTCTTGGCTTATCTTTAGGTGCTTCTGATACCACTCTAGAGCTGCCCCATACTCCTTCATATCAACATGGGCGTCTCCTAACCTGTTGTAAGCCCACCCCTCGTGACGCCTGTCCCCCAACTGCCTGGCTAGTGTAAGAGCCTTTTCATAATACTGAATAGATGTACGGAGGGAATTGAATTTTTGTCTCTGCATGTCACCCATGTGAATGTAAACACTCATCTGCCCATACTCTTCCCCCTTTTCCTGCGCCATCTGTAAGGCCTTGTCAAGGTGGGACTTTGACTCGTTTGCTTCACCTAGTAAAGCACCAACATTCATGCGTGTTATTATCTGGTCTCTTGTATTTGCACTGTCGAGGGTTAGTGCCAGGCTCTTCTGGTGCCACTCTAGTGCTTGTTCGCAATTTTGCATATACTCACAAGCTAACCCAAGTCTGTTATAGGACCGCATTTCCCAAAATTTGCTCTCAAAATCCTTAGCTAGAGCCAACATGTTTGTGTAGTACATGTGAGACACTTGCGGCTCTTTTAGTTGTTCTCTGTGCAAGTCACCAAGCTTACAGTTAATGTCTATCTCCTCAATCTTGTTTCCTGTCTTCCTAGCCAAACGCAAGGCTGTTTTATAATTAGTTTTTGCCTCTGAATGTTTAACTGACAATGTTAACGATGTTGCTAAGTTTTTGCGGGCGACACAAATATCAACTTCATCAGCATTAACATCTCTACAGATCTCCAGAACTCTCTCGTGATTCCTAGTGGCTTCTTCGTGTTTACCTAACACGTCATATGTCAGACCTAGTCTGTTATGGGCCTTGGTTTGGGTTTGTTCTTCTGACAGTGAACATTCTAGCATACTTCTATAATACTGCAGCGCTAACTCTAAGTTGTATAGTTTAGCCCTATATAGATCACCTATCTGACAGTACAGGACACTCTGTTTCTCCTGGTCTGCCACCACTGCAGGCGTGTCCAGCTCAGCAAGGAGGGTGACTAACCGGGACTTGGCATCCTGAATATCTGAAGAGTAGGACGAGGGATATTAGATTGGAAATCGTTTTTCCTTGATGAGTCGTTATCTAAAGAAAACGAATGTGTGTGCTTTAGCCAAAAATAATTTAAGTGAAGCTAAAAGGGAAAAAGTGTCGTTTTATAGTATGAGTTTTGTTTTCCAATGATAGAATGAAAAAGAAATAAACAGTACAAGTTAGCAGTATATCAATTTTGATTACAAATACAGTATGAGTTGCATGGACCATTGCCAATTATATCAACTGAGCCTACCTGCAGATGTGTCCGGTTCAATGGGTCCTAATGTCTTCATCGGTTCCTCAATCAGCCTTTCCAGCTCCCTGATGTGCAGTGAGGCCAGTTCGGAGGTTTCACCACGGCCACGCACGTCTGTATCATCGCATGTTTCTGTCGTCCGTTGATGATCTGTGCATACAAACAGCAGCAATGGAAATGGATAGTTTTAAATACTTTAATCGACGCAATCAATATTCAAAACTTTTGGTCTGACTTACATCACAAATTATTCACGTTCTGGCAAGAATCAAATCAGTCATAACCCGACCCGGTAGTTATGGCTCCCATGAATGTTGAGTCGTTCCGGGCCGGGCTGTCGGCCTGTCCGCCTTAGCCTTGACCTCTTCTCCCCCCTAATGGCACCCATCGCGGGGTTATTTGTCGATTAAAGACGAAGTCACATCCACACAATCTGACCTGTGGCTATTTCCCCAGGAGAGTGTTCAGTAGAGATGATCTCCTTAACTTCTGTTTCTTCTGATTCTGTGTCTTCTGACGTGCTGTCACTTGTAGTAAGTGCTGCTGCACCGACTCTTGACTCGGTTGTTACTTGTTCGTCTTCTGATCCGTTGGCGTCGGGTGTCACGACTGTGGTTTTCTTCTCTGTGGGTTAGAAAATCAAGGGATGACGCGTTTTGCATTTGGATTGGTAATGATCTTTCAGCAGATGTGTGAGCGAGCGAGCGAGCGACTGACTCTGTGTGTGTGTGTGTGTGTGTGTGTGTGTGGTTGGATTACCGTTAAACTCTCAAGATTTTAAGATGTTAATATGACTACGATAATACCTCCTGGATTTGAACTAATTGTATTCTTCAGACTTACCTTTTATTTTGTGTTCTTGCTCAAGACGCTCGGCTTCTTCTGCCAACTCTCCCTTTCCGAGACATCTTAGAACCTGCACAAGGAACCCCAGATTTCCCCTTCCAATCGTTTTGTCGTCTGCTAACATGTTAAAGATTTCTAGCGGTGTTGCCTTTTCAGTTTTTGCTTTGCCAAGAATTTTATCAACAGCGAGTAAGGATCTAAGATCTCTAACTTCATCCTCTGTCAGATTGACAGAGATCTTGTAGTACAGCTGGGCCAGTCTGGAAAGTTGAGCCATGTCTGGTGTAGTCCTCAGCTGCCTTGCTTAATGCATCCAGCCTGAAAGACAAAATGATTGAATTTCAACTTAACAAGCATTGCATATACGAAATGATCATTTTATTACATTATCTACATTTGACTTAAGGCACCCCAAATACGTTTGGTGTCTTTACTACATCATGAAACACTAGGAGTTTCTGTATGATTTGATACAGTGTATGACCCTTAAACGGATGCCTTACGTAACCTTTTTTCACACATAAAGTGGCCGTATGTGCCATCAGCTGTGGAAGGTGTGTTTGGAGACCTTTGACCTACACCTCATGGCTGTCCCGTGACGGCGATTTTGATAAGGTGGTTTTCTCATTTTGTCATGTTTAGAAAACGGCATTAATCTTTAAAAAACATACATAGAAGAAAGAAACAAGCATATCAACGTGGCTTTAGGATTCACTGTAAGATTTAAGCATAGATTTGGAACATTTTGAACTGTTTTCCCCTTTTGTGTGTATCAACATGTGTATACGTGGTCGAATTAAGTCAACACAAGCATAGAGGTTACAGAGGCAGTGAACTTTAATTTGCACCGAGTCAAAATGCACTTAACGTTTGGTATTCAATACTCGCAAAAATACTTTATCCACACCTATGCGTAGGCTGTACGTCAGAAAATATTTACTTGTTTTGCCAAGGAATGTCTCATACCAGGTAGCGTTCCCTGTTGAAAACAAACGTTACATGGTTGTAGTTATATTTGCCAAGTTTATCTTTAGCCATTGGAGTCTTTGTAATGTATGTTTCGTCAAGCCTTGCTCCTCTTCCTACACTTTTGTTATTAGATTCTTGTAATTGCAAAGTTGTTTGTGCCAGAAGACACGTTTTCAAGATTTCAACGGAACATTGGTCTGCTGGTTAAAACTGCACAAACCTTTATGGAGTACATGTAGGTTGTAGTAATATCTACGCCGCCATCTTGGTATGTTTACTCACAGCAAACAGGTGCAAGTTATGGTTTACATATAAGGCTGGCACAGTAGTTACCAAGGACTTATAAAGTCTGTTAGATATTCCTTAAATTAAAACAAAGTTGTAAAGACAGTGCAAGACTATAGCTGCTTCATGATAGATTCAATGTAAGGAAAAACTGTTGTAGCTGTCCCCATAAATGCAGTAAATATGACAAATGCCAAAAAAATCAATCTTTTCACCACAAGATAAACAATTTCAGACGCTTAAATACTGAGCATATTTATAATGTCTTTTATAATTTATGTTGTCTATGGCCTTGATAAGTTACAGTAATCTATAGTTAAACAATGTCTAAGGCTAACACCTAATTTTATATGGCCAAATATTTGTAATAAAATAACAATATATACGGGTTGTCTTTAACACAACCAAATATTATCACCTTGCTTAGGTGTCAGTGTCTATCAGACACCTTATTCAGAGCTTCTGACTGGAGTTCTGCTTCTTGCCGCTATATGTATCCGATGTAGGTCTACATCGTGCAGTATCGTATTCCCTTAAATAATTTCATAAGGTTGGTGAATGATTGGAAGTTACTTATTCACAACCATTTGTTTAACAAGCGATGACGTTTCAAATACAGTTTGTCATCTTCATCGGGGCAATTGGGACTGGTATTGTAGTGTTGTAGCTTCTTTCTTGCAATAAACAAATACATCACGTGCAGCACAGTACCACTTTAACACTTGAGGTCAAACAAATCGATATGCCCCTCCCCCAGGTTACAGCGCCTGTACACATAGTCTCCACCAGACTAAAAGGGTATTAATTGGCCAGAGAAGTTAGCCGGCCATCGTGCAGGCCGATTGGATCCTCGATGGCCGGCTGCCTTCTCTTGCCAATTAACACCATTTTTAGACCGATTTCTACGATTTATTCAGCCTGCAAAAGGAGTCTGGTGGAAGACTACTACTACACCCCCCCCCCCACCCAGCAGCACTTTTCTTCGATAATATAGAACACTCCTTAACACATTGGACATTTCGGAAACGTAACGTGAGAGTGATTTACGATTTCTCTACTTTATATTAGTTATTACCAGAATTTTGTCTAAGAGTCAAACTTCAGGTCCCCAATGCATTTACTATAGATGTCGAATATCAGCCAGCTGCAGGCTGGAGTAGCTTGGCTGATATTCGACGTCGCCACCCTATTTTATTGCATTTAACACGAGTATGATGACAGGCGTCATTGTTAAAGCTTCTAACAAACAGACGACTCTAACAATGCTGGGGAAAGTTGTGAAACAACCTTTGACCCTTTACTTTGCACAGTTAGTTTTAGTCCTTTGAATGCTGTTAACAGAACAAACTGCAACATCCACAATAAAGTTAGTTAACAGTAATCAGTGTTACATGTACTTAGATGAGTAAGACGGTTGCCTTCCGTACTCACTTTTATAGTGAAGAAACCCGCTCCTTTTCCCACAGACGTCAGGTGCGGAACTCGGGCTGTTTTATGCACACGTCCCCTTTTCCTGAGGCATGCTGGGATATAAGCTAATTTTAACCTGGGATTTTTGTGAACTGATTAACCTTACTATGACGTCACCTGTTGTTTTAAAGGTTGCGTGGTGACGCTAAGTGTTGGCTCGTTGTGCTCTTCAGTCCCAGAGTGTTTGCAATGTCTTCATATTACCAGCTTGGGTCTTTTTGCATGAAAGTTTATCTGCGTTCTTGGTATAATACATTGTGACGAAAAGGCTAAAACTTAATGTCCAACACTAAATGAATTGTGACTTATCCAAATTTTTGGCTAACTCCGTCAGCCTTGTTCACGGAATTTACTTGTCTACTGTTGAATATACTTTGTAGAAGAGACACTTAACCGGTAATTAAATCACAAATGATGCCCAGTAGGTTTCACGTTATTGTATTTTCCACATCTTCTGACAGTTCAAGCATATTGCAGTCAGAGACATTAGGTCGCATTAAGGTATATATTAAGCAACAAAGCTTTTTTCACACGATATCTACTTTCCTTGTGGAACTAAGATGTATCCATGCATATTACATAAGCTTTTTTACCATGTTAGAAACTTTCATTTACGCTTTTACTTGTGTGTTTAAGTATTTTAGATGCCATAAGATGTTCGAGTATTTTAGATGCCATAAGATGTGAAACAATTACCCAAAAACAAAACAACAAACCCAACACTAAATATATATCCATACATCACACAACTGTCGACTTCATCTTTGGTGACTGTGATACGGTTAAAGCCCCTATGTAACAAGGGATGTGCATTTTGGGGAATAAACAGCTTTCCACACATGTAATTGTAGAAATTGCCTCATTTTTATCCAAGCGCCCATGAATTTGCGAAAACTAAGTGTTAAATCCACCAGCTCTACTCTAGTGCAAACTCGGCAGTGAGACCGGAAGTGACGTCACAGTAGGAACGCGAGCGTCATAGTTTAGCAGACGACAGGAACTGTCATGTAGTTTTTTGTCAGCCCAAGTTTTTTCGTCAGTATCTTTGTTTATCTTTGTTATTATAGAAATATGGTGCGTAGATGTGTAGCTTATGGTTGTTCTGGGACTACGAAATTAGGACTTAGTTTGCATAGTTTTCCAAGCAGCCCGCGGAGAAGGCGATTGTGGACCCAGTACGTACAGCGCCGTAGAAACAACTGGACGGGAGGGGCGAAAGCCGAACTGTGCAGTCGTCATTTTTCCAGCGACCAGTTTGTCGGCGGACTCGAGCGGGAATTCGGAATACGTAAACGCGTTCAGTTGAAGCCCACAGCCGTGCCGGATGTACATGCGTTTGACGAAAGACCGGCTGAGAGTGGGGCGTCGTCTGCTGTAAGCGGCTCACGTACGGCGTTCGAAAAACGCAGACGACAACAGGTAACGTTCTGTGAATACTCTTGTGACACAACATAAACTCTTGGCAGATCAGGAGTGACGATATAGATGTAGATATCTTCAGAATTAGGAGCCGCCTCGTTTACTTTCCGCTTTAGCTAACGTATTATTATGGGCGTGGGGTGGGAGGGGGGCGCCGGCGAAAATACGTAAACATACATAGCTTGTACGCGGCTCTTCCACAAGTCACGCAGGCCCCTTTTGCAGTGAGTTTTTAAAATATATAGTGCTGGACTTCGATATTTATGTACCGTACATATCTGTAGCGTCAGTCTTTATATCTCTTGCTGGACTCTTACTAGTAAATTGTTTGACATGTATCATATAAATTGCCGTACAATGCAAATACATGTAATACATTTACTTTTCACACAGATCATTGCAGACCTGTTGGAACAAAGTGTACAGGTATGTTGTATTGGTTTTGTTTAGGTATTACTTTAAATTTGTAATTTTTTAATTTAGTTTACTAAAGTGTAAAGAAAAACTGT